CTGTAAGTCCGATTGTTTTGATATTACATATATAGGTACTACATGTGGACCTCTCTCAGATTTGTTCATTTTGTGATGATATCTTCAATTCTCTAATTTTGGTGAATATTTTTGTAATTTTTGGTAAAAAGTGATATTTTCGACTTCTTGTTAAAAACCAAAAGTTCAATTGCTTTGATATTACATATATAGATACTACATGTAGACCTTTCTCAGATTTGTTCATTTCGTGATGATATCTTCAATTCTCTAATTTTGGTGAATATTTTTGTCATTTTTGGTAGAAAGTGATATTTTCGACTTCTTGTTAAAAACTGTAAGTCCGATTGCTTTGATACTATACATATTGTTCATTTTCTAATGATGTCTTTAGTTCTTTAATTGAAATGTGCATTGCTAACAGCGGAGCTATCTCAGCCGATAGGCTGCTTATTTGTATATCTCGGGAAGTGTTTTGAAATACACCCCCTATTTTGAGAATCTCGGGAAAACAAGCAAAATATACCCCCTTTTCTACGATTTTCTCGGGAAAATGTTCCCGAGACAGATCGTCAAAAAGTACCCTCTTTCCCGAGAAAATGGGAACGCGCATGCGGCCCCCTATGGATCCTGAGTGGGGGGGCCGGGGATCGACATCTTCATACCTGAAATAAAAAAATTAGACCAAATCAAATTTTGCTGCTGTTTGATATCATTTGATTGATTATATTTTTTCACATAAAAATTGACAGATGAATGTCTTATTATGTTCAACGGACGCCACAGGATTATTTATTTGTGCATGTTTTTCAGTGGGCGGGGCGGGGCGGGGCGGGGCGACAATGACATATAATGTTTTGTAATGGGGGCAACCCCGGCCACAGCCCTGGCAGACAGCCAGAATGTGTAAAAGAATACCCTTTTTCAGACCTACTTTTCATTTTGCTGTGATTTTGAGTGTTATTTGTTTAACTATAACTTTGCGATGTGCATCTTTTGCATTCACTGATATTCACGAAAATATTTTTTCACAATATATAGTCGTGGCTTCACGATTCCCATTCCAATTTATTATATAAAACACAGTCTCTCTATCGTAGACGGGACTGTGTATAAAAGTAACCTTGGCAGAAGAAATCATTATTTTCCCATAATTTCCTATCCCTGTAACTTCATGCGGGAATCTTAATATGATTTTATGTTCACAACTGTCTGATATTGCATTGTTCATGGAGGGGGGGGGGGTTGCAGGATTTGTGTGCAATTATTGTATTCACTGACATTTATTTTGTATTTTTACATTTTCATGTATACCATGGGGTCCATACATTGTCTTTTTATACTGATTCGACTATGCTATGTTCTTGTGAATTGTTTTGACAATTGCTGACACTCATTTATTTTGTGTTCTTGGACTTGTAAATTTCCTTGTATAACTTTTGCACAGATATCAACAATGGTTTAGGTGTGTTATTTCCACTTTGCAGTAGATACCATGCGTGATGTAACATAGATTGTAACATTGCAGATTTTTCCGGCTTTTAAGCAATTTTTGAGTTTTACATTTATAATTACAGTAATCAATGCTGATTGTATTGTTGTTTCCAGTTAATTGCTACGTTCACACAACAGCATTTTATCAGAGCCCTATGTCTCGGGTCGGCTCGAGCCAGCGAAAATGGCCGTGTATACGCGTTCGACTCCAATAAACCCTTGGGTTGAACTCTGATAGGGTTGAGCCCCGACATGGCCCTGACCGTGTATACGCATCAGGGTAACGTGTTCCTAGTAGGTTTAAATTTTTTCAGAGTCCCTCTATGTAGATAGAGGATAGAGGGCCTGTGATTCTTCCTAGTAGTTTAGATATCACTACAGTTGAATAATTACAAAATGATAATTTTGCATGACAATAACTTAAGCGAATAATAGACTGTAATATAAGGTTATTACGAAGATACCTCAAAGTATGCACGAAGACAGTACAGCGGCAGTATCGATCGACGCGCAGTAATATGGAAGTTATGTTTGCCAATCATGAATATTAATGAAGCAGTACTTATTAGTACACAGGTGTACCATAAGTAAACAAAAACTTGTGCACTTGTTATGAGACGACAAGAACATGCATTTTTACAAAATTCTATTCCACATTCTTACAAAATATATATATGAAATGTATATAAGAGTACAAAGAGTTTTTTATTTAATTAAAAAAACACAAATAAAGACCCCAAAAAACTATCCTGATCGATGAGGTGTCGTCTGCCATTATTTCTACTTGTATATTGATCTGTTAAAGCAAAAGTCAAGGCAAACGGCATAATGCTCCCAGATGAAAGAGCTCAACAAATATAGGAGAATGCAATTTACAGTTTCTTTATATGAGCCAACTTTGTGGTTAGAATATAATCAGAAAAATTACATTTGATTAAAACTGAATAGCCCAGTCCATTCTATTGATACGAGTGAAACTGAAAATGGCAAAGTTAACAGTTTTTATTCCACTATGAAAACAGGAAAGGGGGTGAAAAAATGGTCAGTTTTCTCTACAAGAAAACAAAGCTGCCTAAAAGTGAACAATGACCTGTCAAAATTTGTGTCATAACAAGTGAATTTTTCATCATATTTAGAACAGATATAGCATAGTGCACCCGTTATACACTGACAAATGTGAATATTGGCACAGCATAACTTATCAAACATATAAAAAAAGCGTAGAAAAGTAAGAACTAAACTGTTTCAGATGTATTGGTACATGTATATGTATTAATGGGATTATCTATACAGGGGATTATAACCCACGTTGCACACAGGAAACTGGATTTTCTTTTGTCTCAGACAGAAGTTGCATGTCCCTGTTTTCTAAGGTCTATGATAATACTGATGAAAATTTGATTATCTAGAGAATAAAAAAATGATATAAAGAAACTGTAAATTGCATTCTACATTTGTTGAGCTCTTTCATCTGGGAGCATGTGGTATTATGTAGTCCGCCTTCTTGATTTTCCAGCAAAGTATTGTGGGTAAAGTATATATCCTGTTGTGAAAAATTGAGAAAATGTTTTCGTCTATAATGTGGGAAATACAGTAGCAAATCAGTTCAAATGTTTGGTGTGCATATTACTTATCTATATAATTATAATAATGGAAATTAGAATGTTACAAATACACAGCAAGTAAAAATATTTCCAAAAATGCAAAATTAATAATCGTTATTTTGGTCGTTGAAAATAGAATGCCACTTTTTTTGTCCCTTTTACGTAGTCTACAGGTTATGTATCACCTGTATAAGCTACTCGCATTGATAAATTGTGTTTTAGTAGAAAAACACAGAAATAAATATTTTCAGTTCTTTTGCCATAACAACTACCGTATTTTATATGCATGTTTGGCCCTGGTACATATATGCTATCATATCAATCAAATTGAATTTCAACCTTTTAAGTTAAAGATGAAATCATTTTCCCAATTTCTAACATCAGTGGATATGATGTCATACTTTACCCATAATTCTTTGCTGAAGAAAATGGTGGACTACATAAACTGATAAAAGTTGAATATTTAGAGAAGAAAAAGTGATAAAAGAAACAACTGTAAATTGCATTTTCTTTCATTTGCTGAGCT